CTGAGTGAGGCAGTACATTAAGGACTGAACGTGGGATTCAGGAAGAGTTCATATCCTGCTTCAGACACTTATAAGTTGTATTATCCTGGGCAAGAGGTTAAGTGTAACCTCTTTATGCCTCAGTTTCCTCATCTGTAAAATGGGCACTAATAGCACCTACCTTCCAAAGTTGCTTTAAAAACCATGAGATAATGTCAGTAAAGCGTTTTGTAAAACCTTTAAATGTACGCATGATTACTCTCACCATCACTAAGCCAAGGAGCCCCTCTCAACGCCCTTCACCCGCCCAGCAGCCCCACACTTATAATTTAATGAAATGAACCAATCAGTCACAGCGGGGGACCGGGGGCGGGGCCATGCTCTGGACGCTCCCATCGCTACGGGCGCAGGGGGAGCCTCGGTCTCGGGACATTGAGACTTCGGGCGGCCCCGGAAGCCGGAGAGATGCCCCGCAACCCTCGCCCGCAGCCTCGTCCAGCCGGACCGAGGGCGGCGGCCCGAGCAGGCAGGCGGCCGGGCTTCCCTGGCTCGTAGCGTGGCGCTGCGTCGCGTCCCGGCTCCCGGCCCCGGCCTCCTGGGCCCCGTCCCCGCTCACCTCCAGGGGCGGGTGGGCCCTCACTATTTCTTGACGGACTGCGGCAGCTGGACTCGCCGCCCCTCGATGAAGAGCGGCATCGCGGTGGTGGCGGCCGCCGGGGAGGCGGAGGTGGTGGGAGGTGCTCCCCCGCAGGCCCCGCCCCGCCCTGGGGTAGGAGTGGGGGGAGGGACGCCAGGCTCCGGCTCTGGCTTCGCCCCCTCCGCGCGCCGCACCCGGACGGATGGCCGCTCATTGCCCCGCAGGTCGCCGGGAAATGTAGTTGGGGTGGGAAAGAAGAGGCAGAGGGGGCGTGGCCAAGGGCCGCCCATGTCCCTCCTGATTCGCCAAGTCTTTCCTCTATGCCCCTCCCCCTCTCGTATTCGCCCCTAGCCCGAGTTGGATCCACCCACCCGAGGTAGTCGGGAAGAGAGGGACGAGGGAAAGAGCGAGGGGGCGTGGCCAAGGGCCGCCAGCCCAGGTGCCTCGTGATTTGCCGCGCCTCTCCCACCCCTAACTCGCACCTGGATCATCTACCCAAGGCACCTGCAATCAGAGCTCCCGCCCCCTTTACTTAAGGCAGCGTTCCTCCTCCCACCCCAAAGCCAAAAGGCTTACAATTCAATCTAATCGGTTTTTAAAATGCTACTGTGTATATGTATAGGGGCAGCTAGGTAATGAGGCATGGAGCAGGATATAGTTAGGAAGACGAGTTCAAATTCAGCCTTAGGCACTTCTAGCTGTACTCCGGGCAGGTCACTTGGCCTCTCAGCCTGTTTCTTCATCTGCAACGTGGGCGTAGTAGTAACCTCTGTCTCCTAGGGTTGTTGTGAAGATAAAACGAGACTTGTAAAGTGCTTTGAGAACCTTAAAGGTACTATATAAATGCTATGATTATGGTAAAGATGATGTGTAAGGTGGAAGGCCTACCCCTCAACTTACGTCTCTTCAAATTCACCCTATTAAAATGTATGTCTGGTCCTAATGCTAACCCAAACCCATCCCTATTTGCTGAGATGCCGCCATCTAGCCAGCACATCCAGAATTGAAATATAGCCCCCAAACAAAAAAAAAAATTGTCCCTTCTCCCAACTTCCTCCTTTTTTTGGTTGACTACCACTATTCTCATATCATCGGAATTAGAACTAGAAGAAACCTTAGAAGATCATGGGCACAGAAATATTTGTTTTCGAGACTCACTTTGAAAGACCCTGTGAATTTTCGTTCAGTATCATAGATTATAGAGGAAAGGACAGAATTGTGTTTTAAACCAAGGTCTAACTTCTCTGATTTATATTGCTTATTGGCTTGGATAAATGGGTTTATTTGTTATTTACCATCTGATGATGGTATAACTGACATTTGGTAGAAAGGGAGTCAAACCTTTGGATATAGCTTGGAACACTCTTTCCCTGTTAGGGGACAGTGACCAGAAACACAGCTTGAACCCCCCCAAAAATAATTTCCCTAGGCTAGCAATATTTAGGGTATAATTCTAGCCCAGATATAATTCTAGTCCGGTAAGCTTTCTTTGAAGAAAGCAGAGTGGCTATCCAAAATTCAAGATACAAAATTGCGGCATCCTGTTTTTCTTTTCAGTTCCAAAATTGGTTTATAACGTTTCATCATGTAATTGGCGCATGGTATAATTCTGTTTGTCACCTTCATAAAAGGTAAACAGAGCAGCAATGTATTCACTAGTGGCATATGGATATGCATTTCTCTCTCTCGAATTGTGAGCCATGAGCCTAGAATTTTCAATGCACATGCATTGTCAGTGTATTTCCAAAAGCCAACTTGTGTGGTTTGTTTAGAGCGATTCACTACCAATGGTATTGTCACTCAACCTACTGAAGAGCCGTAGGGGCAAGGGGCAAGGACCGGCAGGCGGAGCTACCATGAGTAAGTTACGTGATGTGGTAAGACTTGCATCTTCCCCGCCAGCTAATGTCTACGGTGTCTGCCAGCGATACATTAACATGTGAAGCATTTCTTTCTGATTATGGGTAAATACAAAAACTATTCTGTGAGCTTCAAGCTGAAAGTGATTGTGCTCGATGAACAGCATGGAAACAGAGTTGCAGTTTTCAGTGAGTGAAAAGTTGGTATGAGACTGGCAGAAACTAAAAGACAAGTAATAATGGAACAAATTTTTAAAGCTTCATATAATGGTTGAATACCACTTTTCCCCAAAAAATTGGCATAAAATCTTCAGTGATTATTTGGTGAAATATGGTATCCTTCTACCTGTGTGGTAATAGCTTGGATCACACACACAACCTTTATCTGTGTATCACTATCCTAAGACACACACATACACCCTCTGAGTTAGACAATATCTGAGATGGATAATATAGCTGCCATTTACATAATGCATTAAGGTTTGCAAAGCACACTCACTTTTACACGGAAAACTGAGGCAAACTTAAGTGGCTTGTCCAAGGTGACATGAATAATAAAAGTATGAAGTAGCTGAGCCAGGGTTCAAGTTCAGGTTCTCTAGGTCCAAATCAAATACCTTTTCCTGGCCCATTCTTCCATCCTGCTGGCTTAGCTTCCTTCTTCCACTAGTGAGTTCTTTCCTGGGGCCCAGTCCAGGTTTGTGTCAGTTCTTGTTCCTGGGTGTACTTCTGACTTTGAGGATAACTCCACTGGCCTCCAGGTGGGTACTTTCTCCTCCTTTTTTTTTTTAGTTCCCTTTAAAGTGTAGTCTTCTCCTGTTAGAATGTAAGCCCCAGTAGGTAGGAACTGCTTTTTTGTTTTAGTAAGCACTTACATGCATGTTACCTGGCTGCCCACCGCTTTTTTTCACGATACTTGACCCTACCTCTCTCTACCTTCCAGGCTATAAACCTTGCCAACGCCAATATCCAGTTGCCAAGTTCTAATAATTTTATCTTCGAAACAACTCTCTAATTTCTTTTTTCTTTTTTTTTACTCCCACTGTCATCACCCTTGTTGCATTAACCTAAATTGGTTCCCTCTCTGACCAAAACAATTAGCAGAACAGCCTTCAGATTTAGAATTGGAAGGGACCTTAAAGTTCATTTGGACCCTGGAGATGAGAAAACTGAGACAGATTTAGTGGCTTGCCTAAGTCACACGAATGAGCAACAGTGAAGCCAAGATTTGAACTCAGCCTTGTGACTTTTAAATACAGCCTTATGCCTACCATACAACATAGCCCCTCTAACCTGTCATTCGTCTCCTCAAAAACTTTCAGAAGCTTCCCATTATTTATACTACATAAGGTTACTCAGCCTGGCAATCAGTAAATGGATGAGTGAAATGGGCATTTATTAAGCCCTTACCATTTGTGTAATAGTGTTTAGTTAAAACTACTGTGTTTAATGCTGGGATACAAATGGAAAACTGAGGCATATCCTTTGAAGGAGTTCATATTTTAATTGGAGGGTTCAGCAGCAGGCCAGATATTAGGGCCTAGTGGTCTGCCATTTACTTGGAAGGATGTAGTTCATAACTCCCAGTTCTTTGAAGCCCATGAGTGGCCATGCCTGCCTCAAAGCCAGAAATCTGGAGACACAAAGTTCTCAAATACTGGGGAAAAACCAGTAGGATCTAGACATGGAGTGGGCTTGGTTTGATAAGGAAGAGCTCCTTTTGATAAAGTTTGCTTCTTCTAGTGGGATCTAACATGGCAGGGAGTTGGCTGAGGTATTAAAATCTTGCTTACAGGATGGTAGACTCTACCTTCTACAACTGGCTCCAATCTTATTTACCAGCCTTATTTCACTTTCTTTTCCCCTTCAAGTACTTCTCATCAATCTCTACTCATAAGTCTACTTCAGCAAGATACTATACAGAGCTAGGGAACCTGTGGCCCCAAGGCCACATGTGGTCCTCTAGGTCCTCAAATGAGGCCCTTTGACTGAATCCAAACTTTACAGAATAAATCTTTTTATTAAGGGAGCTATCCTTTTATTAAGGGGATCTGCATAGAACATTGACTAGAGAATGAGAAGATTTGGGTTCAAATTCTGCCTGTCACTTAATATCTTCAAACTTCAGCAAGTTAAACTCTTTGTGCCTCAACTTATCTACAAAAAGAGGTTGGACTAGATCAGGGGTGGGGAACCTGCAGCCTTGCAGCCACATATGGTCTTCTAAGTCTTTGGGTGTGGCCTTCTGAGTCTAAGTTCTACAGAACTTGGATTCCGTCAAATGGCCGCACTTGAGGACTGGAACACCAAGAACACAGATTGAACCCCAAAAAAGCTTCCCCTAGGCTAGCAATATTTAGGGGGACAGATAATTTTAGTCTGGTACTCCCTCTTTGAAGAAAGCAGAGCAGCTATCCAAAATTCAAGATATGAAATTTTACCTTTCTTAGGCACAAGTCACCTACAGGAATAGATTTCTTCCCTTAGGTTGAATTCCATGTTAATATATTCAAGATTGATAAAACTTCAGGAAAGGACTGCAAAATTTTATGAGCAAAGAAAGCATTTGTTTCATTGACAAATTAAATAACAAAAATACATGTAATGCTTTTTATATCCTCATAAGAAAAAAATTATATATACACTTAAAAAACTAAGATAAAATACACAAATATTGAAAAGACACTAATTATTACACTGTAGAATTCACAATAAGGCTGAACTGCCTTACATCCAAGGGGATTTAATTACAGAAGTGCTCAAAAGGTTCTTTTTGTAAAATGTTTCCATCTTTAAGTTGTTTCATCAGCACCAACTCCAAGACAGTGTTACATGGAAGACTTAGTATATTTAAGATGATAATAACTTCTAAGAATAAGATTTATAATTCAATTAACAACCTCATTTTTTCCTAACAAATCTTCACAATAAGTCAAATAAAAGACATGAAAATATTTTTCTATCAATTTTAGATGTTGAATATCAAAATATGAACATTACCACTGCCATATGTTTAGTACCATTTCAAACATAACATTCCTGAAAAATGTACAGGTAAAATTCCATGTTAATAGATTTTAAAAGATATCAAAAGAACTTTTGTAAATCTTAATTCCATTCAAATGGAAACCTACTAATACAATTTCTGTATAGTGTATCTTTTTTTTTACCTGATTGTTTGCATAAATAAAGAAAATTCTGCCTTCCTAGCTCTACCATTCTCCTTCCCCTCAACCCACAAGACCAAATCCTGCAGTATCCCTTGACCCCTCTTTCCAGCTTTTATTATCCCAGACTATTTTCAACAATCTCCTTCTTTCCCTATTATTTCCACTACACTGAGATCCAAGCATAATGGGTCCCAGTAAATAAATAAGCAATGATGCTTATTTATTTACAACAAAAAATAAACACGGAACCAAAGCAAACATGTTATAGTCACAAAGACTGACTTGAAATATGAATAGAGACTTGTGAAAGAATCTATTATATAGGATGTTTTGTTGAAACCACATAAATAAAGCACTGGAATTGTAGGGCTATTACTGGAATATGAAAATAGCATTGATAAGCAGAAGTCTCTGTTAAAATGCTATTAAATAAAATGGGATTATATGTGTATTAGAACTTTCATAATAATTACATTATAAAAGATGTAACATGTAAAAGTTTTATACATTAAATGAAAACTGCAAAATTACAATAATAAACTATATTATAAAATATTGCACATGATATTCATTCAACTTTTTCTAGAACTTATGCTAAAAAAAAATCATCAGTCTGGAAACTGTTTAAAATTTAACTTGAAACCAGGATGCCTGAGGTATGTCAACGGTTGAGTTAAATTCAACTTCCATAACCTATGAAACATGATATTCAAGTCTGGGTTTGTGGTTGTTTTTTCTTTTTTAGGGGAAAAGTCTCTTCAGTTATTTATTCTTGTTATCAGAGGGGCTGGTCCAATATGTATGTGACTTGTGGAGACCCTACACTGCTTGATGGGCTCCGAAAACTTGATTCAAAAGAACTTGGTGTAATTCCAATCATAGTGTCATTCTGTGGCACTTCACCTTTCAAAAAGTCATCATCTTCATCTTCTATTGTTCCCTGTAAAACAAAAAAGAGAAAACATTGATAAAACTTTTCTCTTTCCCAGAAAATGTTACAACAAAAAAACAAAACAAAACCCTATCTACGAATTTAACACTAAGTAATCAATATAGAGCAAGGAGAAAATAAGCAATTTAGAAATTTCTCATTAAAAAGCTAATTAAATAATCAAGTGAAAGACCCTAAAAGAAAGCCAAAATTCAAAATTCCCATGATACAGTCCTTTTCAACAAGTAGTTAAGTAAAGAGAGATAATAATATAAAGATATTTTGTTTCATGGATTCCATCAGGCCCAGAATATTACTGGGGGTCCTCAGTGAGATCCATTATTGCTCAAAAGAAACAGATTTAACAATCTTTATAGAAAAAACTAAATGAATGAAAAATGCCTTTTGTCCAGACCATGAATACAATTGGATGACACTGTTACATGTGAATACATATATCTGGGACAGGCACTGTAGCTGGACAGTTACTGGAGTCCAGCATTTAACAGGAGGAAGAAAATGAGCTGGATTGTATCTTGCTTTTAACAATCCAAGTATAAAAATTCTTCTTCAGAACACAAACATTCTCTGGAAAATGACATATGGTTCTGAATCAAAGTTGTAAATGATTCAACATGAAAAGACATATGGTGGAAACAAGTAGGCTGTAGAATATTTCCAAGGATGACTTATGCAGAAGCAGTGGCATAAAGTATGTCATCGAGGAAACATGATGGGAAAAGGAGGTGGGTCAAACGTATGGATCAGGGAACAACAAATGGAAAACCCAACTGCTGTCCTAATAACTGGAAAATAAAAAAGTCTAGAAGAGGAATGGCTCCTGTGTGGAGAAACTATAGGAGAACAGGTCAGATTTCAATTAGTACCAATGGAGCTAATACCTGTATCAATAAGATCTTATATTCTTTGAAGTATATTATCATAATTATTAGGTAGGGAAACAAGCACACTGACTTAAGTTCCATAATTTGAATGAAGACTCCAAAGGTAGCAGAAATTCTAAGGAAGGCAGAGATGGTCACTGAAACTACGAAATTGCAGAAGAATGATACAGTATAGGATAATCACCTAGTTCTGTGATGATATTCTAGCTGATATGTTCTAAGACTGCCTATTGATTTATCCCTTCAAGAGATTTATTTCTAAATGACCATAAGATTAATTTACCCAACTGCTGGCACAAATGTCAACATAAAGATAATTGGACTGCAAAGGAAAGTTATTGGGATTTTTACAAAAACAAAAACTATGAGAACATTTTAAATGTATCTAAATTCATGTCTTATTTAACCTTCCATTTCCCAATAATCAGGAATAAAACTGGTATCAAAATCTGATGACAAATTTCCATTGAAAAAGAATACAGTGAACTGTTAAAAAGTGAACTTTGTAAAAGCAGTAATAAACTTAAAATAAATTTGGCCAAGTCTATTAATATTGATAACTAGGTTACAAGTAAATGGTAAATCAGAAAATTACCTTTTCAACAGGTTTTTTAAACTCCTGAAGTTCTTCAGCACTCAAATCTTCCCATGACTGATAAATGGGATCAATGACTTTTTTGGATCTATTAACAAAAATTATTGATTAAATCACATTTCAAAACATTTGCATCAAATATCTGATAGGGGTCTGTTACCCAACATGTATGGAGAACAAATACAAATATGTAAGACCAAGAACCACTCCCCCAATGGATAAATGGTCAAAGAACATGACAAACACTTCTCAAAAGAACTGCAAACTATAAACCATAAGAAAGAATGCCCTAAATCAATAATAAGAGAGAGGAAAACAGAAACAACTTTGAGATTTACCTCATTCTTGAAAAACTGACAAAGATGAGAACCAGTCAATGTTGGAGGAGCTATGGAAAAATATTTAATTCACCACTGGTAGTGAATTGATCCAACCATGCTGGAAAAGTGATCTGGAATTATGCTAAGAAACTGACTAAAATATCCATGACCTTTGACCAGGAGTTTCTACTTTTAGAAATATATGCCAAAGAGGTCAAAGACAGAAAGAAACGTTCCATATATTCTAAACTATTCATGGTAGTATTTTTGGTAACAGCAAAGAACTGAAAACAGAGTAGATGCTTATCAACTGGAAATGGCTAAACAAATAGTAGTACATGAATGTGATCAGAGAGAAACATGTAAAGACTTACATGAAAAGATACAGAGTGAAGCAGCAGAGACAAGAAAATATACACAACTGTAAATGGAAAGAACAACCCCTACAAGACAACCAAGAGTGAATGCTGCAAAATTACAAAGAAAAAGTATGGCCCCAAAGAAGAGACACCCTAGCCACCCTTCTTTTTTAGAGGTGGGAAGGCCTTAAGTGTGAAACAACTGCACATATTTTTAGATTTTTTTTTGATGTATTTGATGGGTTTTGCTCTCTTCTTTTTCTTATTTTTTATATAAAATGGGCTGTCTGGGAAAAGGGAGGGATACTGGGAGAAATTTAGGTGATATAAAAACAAAAGATAAGCATAAAAATTGATAATTAGGTTTCAATCTTTCAAGATTACATTAAACACTTTTGGCAATAAGTATACCTAGTTAAAGAACAATGTAATCCTATCATTCAAAGATGCTTCTCATTTTCAAGTTAAATTGTTTCAATATTTTGGACCCAGATACAAGAGGCATAAAAAAAGCTGAATGTTAAGTTAAAGAATTCTGAGTTATCTTTCTTTATGCTGCCATTGTTTGTTTAGATATGGGGGCGGGGGGAGAGGGGGGAATACGAATATGTATATATTTTACATAAATCTCTTATTTGATATAAATGAAATTACTAGGAATTCATTCATCTAAGATTTGGGGTCTGGGAGCCGAGAACCCAAGAGAGGTTTCCTAGATTAGATAGTAATAAGGAGCAAGTACGTAACATGTGCTGTTTTTCGTATATAAAAAAGGAAGTTATGGCTGACTTGGTAGTTTATTAGAATCAGAATATCTGAACTGTGTTTGTCCTATACAGTAACAAACAAGCAAAAGAAGGGTCTAAAAGAATAAAGGAAAATAACTATCTCCTTGGGGATTCTTTTAATATCTGGGGAAACCACTAATCTCAAATTAGGTTCTTATTAAGGTAAAAGACAGAGTTAAGATAGAAGAACTTCGTTAATTACTTTTGGACAGTTATCAAGTGCTTCATGGGAAGGTACTATAAATAACATCATTTTAAAAGTAAAATTTGAATTTTCCTAGAGTACTAAGAATAGGAAAAGGAAAAATGAACTAACCCAGGAAAATTTAATCAGAACATATTACAATTTCCAAAGTGCTTCCAGATGCAACCTGTCATTTGATCTATAAAACAATCCTGGAAGCATTCTCCCTATTTAATGAGGAAAGTGAAGTTAAGGAAAGTCAATGTGGCTGGATAAGTGAAATGGCTCAAAGTGTTAGAAGTAGGTTGTTTGTATCCAGTCCAGAGGAGTTACTACTAAATAAACAAAAAGGATATATACCACATGTGGTACAGTTAATAAACAATGCAAGAACTTAATGAGGAATACTCCCCATACAAGGCTGGTTCTTTTTTACCATATGGAGCCTCCACAGAAAACTACAAATAGGTCATACAAAATTCAGTGACTATCTACACTGGGGGGGGTCTTCTAGCAGTAGCAGCAGGAACCCACATATCCCAATCCCTCTGAGTGAGCACTAAAGAGAAGAAACAAACCACAAGGCAAGTAATCCCCAGATGCCAAAGGTCAAAATTTATTAAAGATCAGACGAGGTGTCAAAGTAGGGAAATGAGTCCTAAAAGTACTATGAAAGAAAAATACAATGGTTTTTTTTTAAATGGAAGAGCCAGGTTCAATAGCTTTGAGGAATTTATTTCAAAGTTTCTTTAGAAACTAACAACCTAGAAGAAACACTATCTAAGAAAGTAAAATTAAAGAGATAGTTATTAAGTGCCTACTGTGTGCAAAAGTTCTGGGTGAGGTACAGGGAACACAAGATAGAAATAAAAGGATAAAAAAAATAAGCATTTGCTCTGGCCTTCAAAAGGCTTACTGGCATTTAAGTTTGAGTTCTGACATTAGCTAATTATGGTCCCACCGAAACATGACAACCTCTTTCAGCTTCAGTTTCCTCATTGGTAAAGGAACACTTCCTACATCAAAAGTCATTAATGCACTTTATAAATGGTGAAGGCTTCATATAGATTCATAATTCACACTCATGCCCACACCCTCTTCATTCAAGGTTTAGATCAAAGAGGTCATTAAATATTTTTTAAAATGCAAATTTTGAAAGATGAACTTTGTCCCAATAGCATTTATTCCACGTAAACTTCAAATTTTAAAACAAGAGCTTACCTCTTGAGAACACAAGGATCAAAGGGGAAGAATGTGTCAAGTGGATTGGTGCAGGTCTGTACTGAACCACCTCCCGCAGTATTTCTGAGAACTGGCAGCATCTGTCGGTTGTTCCTTTCAATAATAGTGTAACAAAACACTAATTGGTATTTCCTTCAGAAAATCAAACAGATACATTTGTTAGCATAGTGGAATCATTCCACCTGGCCTTACAGAATTCAATGGGTAAAAATAAATACTGACTTTTGCTTACCACATAATGCTACAGTATACTAACATACAGTAAAACAAAAAAAAAATTCATTTGAAAACAAGCATAAATTTAAAAATTATTTTATACTTAAGTGCTCAGTTTCCTGTATAAAGAATTTCACCTACCTTTTCTATGCTTCTTGTCCCTTATGCCCATAACTCTTTTTTGGAGATCCTAGCTCCCTTCAAGACTTAACTGACATCTCCTACAAGAGGCCTTTCTTAATTTACCCATTTATTAGAACCCCTTTCCCAAATGATTTTGTGTTTATTTGTGTACACACTGTATCCTCAGTAGGAAGTAAATTCCTTGAGTGCATGGACCATTTCATTTCTGTCTTTGTAACCCCTGTGCCTAGAACATGGCAGACAATATATGATTGACGAATTGATCTAAAATGAAAATTACATTTACATATCCTCCAATTTTAAAAAATTATGCCCAAACAACTTACCTTGTAATGGCAGCAAATAAGTTAACTACAGAAGGGAGGCAAATCTTCAAAGGATTTAGCTGAGACATAACTATGCGCTCAAAATTTAAACTCTGTAGATAAGCCAAGCCTTTGTTAACAAAAAAAAAAAGCTCAGTTAACAGTTTAAGAACATATACAAGATTCAAAGCTTGAAATAAATGATCATTTTATTTCCAGTGACTAAACTTTAAATGCCAGGTGTTGGCACAACTAACTGTAGAGGATAAGAAGAACTGGATTTAGTGTGTGGGAAGATCTGGGTTATTCAAACTCTATGGGCCTCTCTCCCCTCATCTGTAAAATGAGGTTTGAACTAGATGACTTCTAAGGTCCCTTCCAGTTCCAGATCTACTGAATATACATATAGAAGATATCTGTTTAACTGCCATTAAAAATCTAGAAATTCCTCAAATTAATGTGATATCATGAAAAAAATTAAGTTTTCTGACTATTCTCAAAACAATTTTTCACACATAAAATGGACAGGTCTTTAGAATTTTAACTGTTTTTTATTCATTTTTATGTACACAGCTTCTCCATAAATGTTCGATTTTCTTACTCATAAAGATCTTTTGAAAGTCTATTTCTATTTTGTAATTGCAAGTAAAGATATTTCTCAAGATTATTTGTGTGAAATTAAGACTGAAAAATTATAAATGAAACTTTTTTAAAGGTGAGATTTTTTAAAGCTTCATTTATATTTTAGAAAGACCACAAAATAATTTGTTGTTGTTCATTCGTCTTTTTTAGTCATGTCTTACTCTTCACGGCCCCTATTTGAGGTTTTCTTGGCAGATCCTGGAGTGGCTTGCCATTTCCTTCTCTAGCTCATTTTACAGATGAGGAAACTGAGGCAAACAGGGTTAAGTGACTTGCCCACTAAGCCAGAAATTCCTGACTTGGTACTTTATCCACTTCACTCCCTAGCTGCCCACAAAATAAAGGCTCCCTTTTTGTGCTTGCCGTATTACAAAGAATACAATGTCACTGTCAAATGAGATACTGTATGTAAAAGTACCCTGGAAATTGTAAAGTACTATACAAATGTAAGGTGCTTTTTTTTTCTTGATAGGACTTCTGATTTCACTGATATAGACAGATAACTGCCAGTAAGAAAACTGCAACACATAGTCTTAATTGCCTGGGGACATTAAATGACTTGCCCAGAGTCACATAGCCAAGTATGTGTCAAAGTTGAATCTTTCTGACTCTTCTCTATTCACTATACCACAATGCCTCAAGGTAATGCTGATAAGTAATTTTACAAGCTACAATTCTGTGTCATAAAATTTAAACAGTACAAAATGAGAAAACATCATGTAACAGATTACTATGTAAACCAATGACGTGCTGAAAATTACTTGTGTGCAAAAAGTGAGTCATTGTTCAAGTGATCTATAGTATCACTAAGAATACATTTCTGAAAATGCCTTCCCTAACTCTGAAGACAGGGATGTAGGGAGGAGAGGGGAGTAAGGAGTGGTCCACAGGCATAAAATAATGAATATATCATCAGTTTTTTTCCCCAATGTGGGATTAATTTTGCTGATGTTTTTCCTTCTCTCTTTTTTTTTTTTAAACAAGAGAGTGATCTCTGGAAAGGGAGACATATATTGGGAAATGTCAGTGACATAAAAATAAAAAAGTGTGACCCTGTGCAAATCACTTAACCTGTTTGTCTCAGTTTCCTTAATTGAAAAATGGGGGAAAATAATAGTGCCTACCTCTCTGGGTTGTTGTGAGGATCAAATGAGGTAATATTTGTGAACATTCAGCACAGTGCCTGTCACATGGTAGGCATTATGTAAATGCTATTATCATCAGCATTTTATTAGATCAACAAAATGTGTTTTATCAAATTTTTTTTTAAACAATTAGCATGGCTAAAGTTCTTTGAATCCCTTCTAAATTAGCTGCTAAGCTACCACACTCCCTTTTAGACATATGTCCAGGAATCGTGTATGACAAGTATTCTGATGTAATGAAAGGTAAATAAGAGAATGCCTCTGGACAAAAAAATGTAACTTTATTAGCATAATAATCTCAGCTACTTAGGAAAAGAAGCACAAATGCTCTTAATGCTGGTCAGCATCTCTAAAGCCTTGCCCTCCACACACATAAAATTCCTTTTTTCTCCTAACTACAGAAAAACATCTTTCAAAATTAGTGGAATCAAGACACATGGATAAATATAATTAAATTATATTTATTAAATTATACTAGAAGTGGTATTCATTTATAATACAGTTAATAAACAAGCTTCTTATAGATTATTTAAACTAGAAACAATTAGAGAAGTCACTAAAACAAAAACAGTAAATAATGTATTTATTAAGTTTTCAATTGTATTTGAAGATAAAATTTGGTTAGACTGAGGGAATAACAGCAAGTTTCTAATGACAATAGTAACACAAAAGACAGTAAATGCAAGCCAATGTAATGTAATAAATGTAATAAATCCCTTGGGTGCCCTAATATACTTACCTTTCCTTAAGTTTCCATCTAAAAGCTGTTTATGTCGAAAAACAAAAGTGTAAAACACAGCCTGACATGCTGAATAAAATGGTCCATGAAGAGCTACATCACAGAAAGCTTTTGTTCCTGCATCCTGGTTATCAAGGTAGATATGCAGCCAGTTAACCAAAAGGTCAAGGCATGCTTTTACAGTGCTAGAGAAAAGAAAAATTTCAATTTAATAAGCAAATTTTATTTACTTTGTAAAATGACTGACTCTAAAAAATAAGACCAATATCAGACACTTCATAACCCCCTGTTAACACTAAATATGAAAAAAGTTAGCAGGTTTCAAGTCCTATCCATGGATACAGAAGAGCCAGAAAAGCAAGAGGCAATGGTCTAAGAGCTGCCACTCCAGGAAATAAGCTGACTATTCCTCCCCTGAGAGTAAGCTGGCGTTGGCCTCAGTTTCTCCCTGAGACTAGGTCTGGAGGCCTCCTCCTAGAATCCACTATTCCTCTGTTGTGATCACTGAAACAATGTTCTAGCCCTCCATTACTAGTGAGTCTAAACCTACTGCCATGTTTGTATACGAGCACAACTTCACCAACCCACATGAGAAAAGCAACAGTGCCCTAGCCTTCTATAACCCCTGATATTCAGACCTTAATTCTCTTGCCATCAGGGATAGAGCATCAGATACCAAGTTCAGTGAAAAGCTGAGAATCGTTGGGAGGAAGCAAAGGAACTGGCCCAAATATAAGTTCAGACAGGCCCCTGGAGACCCAATCTCCAAGAATTTATAGACCAAGACACTGGTCTTGTCCTTAGAATTCAATAGATAACTAACACACCACTCTCTATCATCACAAGATTCCAAGGGTGGGAACCCTAATCAAATGATGCACTTTCCTGTGCTGTGGCTTGCAAAATCCCACCTCTGCCTCTTTTCCTTTCATGATTCAGTTACATGCTCTAAGCAGTCTCCCCTTCCTCACTTGGGCCATAATTTTGAATAACAAGTTATCTGGCTTCTGACTCAGCTTGAATTAGTTCAGAAAGGGCTCTTTTCTCCAAAGTCACCAGACTTTTCCCTGTTGTTATCCATCCTGAGTTCTTCACAGCTTCTGATATGGGCCTTCTTCAGGCACCTTCTCCTTTCCTAGCATTCAAGACACTATACTCACACTCTCACACTCACTCACTCTGTCTCGGTCAGTTTACTCTTCCTCAAGTCTCCTTTCTAGATCACCATCCATGTCCTGCCCCAAATCACAGGAATTCCAAGGCTCTCTCCTTGGCCCTCAGCTGTTCTTTGTCTAAAACCTCCCTTAGTGATTTCATTAGAGTCCATGGGTTGAATTATTAGCTGTATGCAGACAACTCCCAAATCTCTGGATCAGTAATCTTGGTCTTTAAAAAGCACAACACTAAAATGTATGCATAAAATTACTCACATGATGGGAACAAATTTAGCTCTTGCCAAAAGACTGCCAATATAATTTCCAGCGGCTTGCCTGAGGATGGCAGGATTATTTGGATTCTGCAATTTTTTCCAAAGATGTTCCAAAAATGCTTCTGCAAATCCCTATGATGAAAGTAGGTTTATCTAAGTTTACTTTTACCAAGAAGGAGGTCTGAAAATTATCCTCTCATTTTCAGTTAAAGGGTAAGAAAAAAGTAAGGTTTTAAAATGGTATTTCTACTTACCAATTTAAAGCTACAGAGGTAGAACATAAAAAACTGTGTGTGACAGGAGGCATGGGTTGGCAACACCAGCTTGTCAAAGATTCCTAATAAATCTCGATACAAGTCCTTTGTTTTGTTAACATCAATCTCACCTACAAAGTAAACATAACTTTTCACCTTCAAAAGATAATTAAAAGGAAAAACTGAGAATAAAAAAATTTGAAAAAGGCAAAGTACATAATTTTCAATATTAAGAAATACATCCTCATCAATTAGACTACAATCAATAAGACAAATTACCTATGACTCCTAACAGTCATGAATAACAATGCCAGTTTATTTTCACCTACCCGTATTTACTCTATCTAAAAGACAATATTCAGAAAAAGAGCTGTATGTTAATATCATTAATAAATACTAAAACAAAATATTTGTTAAACTCTAGCAAAATGTATATAATAAATTACTATGACAATGTTGGATTTATACCAAGTACAACACTAGGGAAAAATTACCATAATTAATCACATTAAAAAAACCCCAAAATTATGTGATTATATAAAGAAATGCAGAAAAGAGACCTTTGACAAAAACACAGTATTGACAAACAGCACAGGCTTCTGTTTCATCAATATGAGGGTTCACTCTCATGTACAAGTGTAGTTTAGTGATGACAGATCTAGGTAATGTTTATAGATTAGGGCTTTCCGTGATATGTTCATCACAGCTAAGGCACTAAGTCAAGGCTATTATACTATCATGAAAAAATATCAAGCAGTTTCAAAATAATTCAAATCTCTAGATAAAAATGACCAACCTCTATGCATATATAATGTTGGGATATCTTTTTCTATTACCGTTTTTATAGCAGACATCTTTTATGTAGGAAAAGAGTAAGGACAAAAGAATATCTAAACGTTCAGCTACTGGATGTGCCATTTGATCGCTCTTTCCAGAAATATCTTTTGTTTCATCTTTAGTCTCTTCATCTTCATCCTGTTAAATGGAATGCAATCAAGTATTCCACAAAAATCAAGAAAGAAAAAAAAACCCTATGCTAAATTAAGTAATGTATAAGATAGAAGTAATCTCCACTACAAGTCCTAGTCTAATGTCTCATGATAGAGAGATGACATTGGGTTCTCAAAAGTTATGCAAGTAAAATGTGAGCTCCAACAGTTCAAGCTGAAAAAGCTGAACACAAGCTCAGTAACAGCCATCATTTTGGGGTCAGGCTAATTAGGTACTGAGAGACTCTTCAACAGAAAGCTGACCACCAAGTGAAAAATATTTTATATACAGTAACTAATGGAAACTAAGATATGGAAGATGTTGTAGTCTGCATGGATACAAGTATTCAAACCAAGTAAATTATACATGTTCTAAATTATTTGAAACAATAGTAAAAGCAATTTATGTGCTTTACCATAAACTGTTACTGGTTCCAGAACAAAATCCTCTCCCAGACTGGAGCAGCAGTAGTTAAATTTAAACATACAATTTTGCACTCAAATTTAAAGAAAAACATAGTTGATCTGTTAACAGGTAATAATAGCTGGCAAAAGCAGTAAGCTAGCCAGAGCTATATTTGTATGTAATAAGGAACTGCTTGTAAAACAGACTATGCTGTTTTAACTCAAGAGATCATTAACTAGTTTTTTCCATCAACACCATGAGAGAGAATCTATACAAATACTTTCATCTGACAGCTTATATTTTAAGTTTCATTTTAGTAATACAGACTGACCATATTAAATAATCTTTCTACTGTATCTGTCCCATTATTAGTTTGAACAGCCGTTTCCTCTGCATCCTCTGCATCTTCAACATTTTGTCGTGATGCACTCACCTACGTTACAAATGAAGAAAAAATAAAGTACATAAAACTTTCTTAAAATATTGCTGTATTTCAACACAAGAGCCTTTTCTAAGACATATTTAAGTTAGTACACTTCATAGCATTCACATTAAACACCCTTACACTCCAAATCTATATAAATCAAACCCGTTGGTTCAGTTCAATTAGTAGTAATTGAGTTCCCACAAAATAAGTAGTAGTAGTAGTAGTAGTAGTAATAGTAGTAGTAGTGGTGGTGGTGGTGGTGGTGGTGGTGGTGGTGATGGTACTAGTAGCTAGCATTTATATAGGGCTTTAAGGTTTACAAAACATCTTACAAATATTTCATTTGAGTCTAACAACCCTGGGAAGTATTATTATCCCCATTTTACAGATGATAAATCTAAGGCACACAGGTTGAGAGACTAGGCCAGGATCATAAGAGTAAGTGACTAAGGCCACATCTGAACTCAGGACTTTGTGAATACTGGTCTAGTATTCTATACACTGTGCACCTAGATACCCAAAGGATCTGCTTTCAGTGGGGCAGGAACACAGACTCAATAGATGGTTTTAGGTTGCTGTTATATTTTGCTTTGGCCCATCAAGTCACTTCTCAGCAATCCCCCCTTGAACTTCCCCACCCCTGTAGATCTTCCCATTGAAAAAAAGTTAAATCAAACTATCTAAATGAGTGACTGCAATGCACATTCATGACACTTTCCATTTTTGTGGCTTAGTGTTTTAAAAAAGATAGGTTGTGAGGGGGCAACTAGGTGGCACTGTGAATAGAGCACCGGCCCTGGATTCAGGACCTGAGTTCAAATCTGGCCTCAGACACGTAACACTTACTAGCTGTGTGACCCTGGGCAAGTCACTTAACCCCACTGCCTAGCAAAAAAAAAAAAGACAGGTTGTATATTTTTGTAGTTGATTTCATTTACACTGTTGTCATTTGTACATGATTTTTTAGTGTATCATTCCTTTGGTTCCACATTCTTCACCCTACATGAGTTCATACCAATCTTTCTACATTTCTCTGAATTCTTCATAGTTGTCACTACCTTTTTTATTCCAGACCTATGACTTCAGAGTATAAAGTACTCCCAGTAATATGTCTTCTACCAATGCAGATTAGCAATGATTTTTAAACTGTAAGAGAACTGCCTGAGGCACTGAGATGTTTAAATGACTTGCCAAGAGTACAGAGCCAGTCCTCTATACATCATGCCACATTAGCTCTCATTTATCACTACTTATGGAACAAGAGTTCTTTCTCTAAAAATGGCTATGCTTTTGATTAGCTACAAGGTGATGAAATTTAAGGACCTCTCTGGTGCTATGTGCCTTCTACTTAGCCAAGCTGTTCTTTGGACAAAAGACATTGAGCCCTTCATCTGAAGCCTCTGTAGCTTGGCAAGACCTGCCAAACCTTTTAGTTTTGGATAATCTTCAAGAAACCAAGGTCTCTTTCACACCAAAGTATAATATTAGAATATGACTTCTGTGGCACATAGCAGTATACTAGGCACTAAAATGTTCTTGGCTGAGCAAATACTTAGGGGTGATTTAATCAACCCTCTGTTTGCAACAAGGGGTATTATTATACTACACTGAAAAGCATAAGATTGCTAGCAACTAATTTTAATGATAGATTGTTCAGCACTTACATCCATCTTGAGTAGCTTTTCAACAACAAGTTCCAAAATTTCAGGTCGCAAGGTTGGAAAATATACACTAATCCTTAGCAGATTATGGACATAGCATTCCTAAAAAATAAAAAGCATTAAGAAGCCTGAATAAGTAAATCCGCACTTCACATCAGTCTAATTAAACAACTAATACTCCTATTAATTTCCAAGATTTAAGAAGTGAACTATAAAAATGTAGGAAGCATATTTGTAAATATAGTAGGAGAGTACACATAAAACTTACAAACAAAAGAAAATGCCATACTGATCCCCTTAATTATTTCAGAGAAAACCATTTGCAATCTTATCAGGATTTACCTATACCAGCTAACAATAAAGTTGTGTCACTTCCATGTCAAAAATCTCTGTTGTCTATTGCTATTGAATCATGGTCAAATTCTGCTACCTGGCATCCAAGGCCTTTTATAATCTACCATGTTCTACCTTTCTAGCCTTATGTATTTCTCCTTTGGTCTAACTGGACTTTGACCTCTGTTATCTTGTCTCTCTGCTATATTTTAAGCTCCTTGAGGACAGAGGATATCTTACACACACCTGCTATGTCCCCTAGTCCCTGACACAATACTCTCAAAGCAGCAGGCAATTAGCTAATGTACACAACATTGCTAATGTACACTAACAACCTCAATGTGTAGCAACTTTTAATAATCAGTATCTGTAATAAACATCTCTAAATGTAATAAACATCCTCTAAAAACATCTCAAAGATACTGACCCTGATTTATAAGTAATAAGGAAGATAATTAGAATTTTTATCCTTAGTCAAAATGATGCTAGGAAAGGACTGTAGGAGCCTTAGGCTAAGATTATTACCATAACAAAGTAAGTAGTTTTAAGCAAATAAAACATGCAGAATTAAATCTCACAAAATGCTGAGTTTCTCTACCATACTGCTATGCAAAGGAATCTTACCAAAATCCTTTCTGATTTTCGAATAAAAGGAAATTTTTCCACAAGTATTGGCATAAGAAACCATGGTGTACTGTAAGAAAACAAACAGTCAAGATTAGTAAAAAAAAAAATTATCATCATTAATTTCAAACTCCATGAGCTGGAATTTCTAGTCTTAATTCCAGGGAGCACAGGGATATAAGTATATAATTTCCTCCCCAAATTTAAAAATCCATCCTGCCCATTTAACTGCTTTATCAAAAAAAGGTTTGTAATATTCTAGAAAAAAAGATTTCCAGACATAGAGGAAATGATGTAAATCAAGAAAACAAAATTGGTATAACACTGCCTACAACTATAAAAATAATTCTTTATTAATTATATACTGATGGAAAAGGGAATGGGACAGAGTAGCTTACATTCTTTCATCTAAAATGCTCTCAATTCATATTGTATATTTTTATTGAGCTAAGTTTTAATCCATATTTTGTTTATCTTTGTTGAGAGGTTCATAATGAAAAACAGACCTTCTCCTCCCAGCTCTGCCTGTGACTCTTTTGGCCTTTGCCACTACGCCTCAGTTGTACCTCATGCTGCAACATCTCCCAGTGCCTGAGGCCTTCTCAGTCTGGAACATCCACTGGACCCTGCAATATTCTTACCCTGGAATGTCCCCTGTCAAACTGGTCCTTATTTCCCTTAGTGAGTTCCTATTGGGGCCTCTCTTTGGGAGAGGGGCCCAACCTTCACCTCTGCTCCCAGCTCTGAGGCTCTGCTTCCCAATTTCTGGACTTTACCTCCCCCTCCCACACAAACACAATTTTTCTCTCTTTCAAGTGTTTTCTTCCCCCAATTAAAATGTAAGCTCTTCAAGGGCAGGGGCTATCTTTCTTTTTATTTGTATCCCAATAATTAGCACAGTGCCTGCACATAATAAGAACTTAATAAATGCTTACTACCTTGCCTTAAAAATAGAAAACATGGTAACTCTGGAGTCCATTAAATAAAGAGGTAAATCATTTACCTCTTAAGAGTTTTCATTTTCCTCAATGAGTTTAAGTAATACTTCAGGTCAAATCAAGTTAATAAGTAGTAATACTAGAATTACCAAGCATGAAACATTAGAGAAAATTATACAAATATTTTTGAGTCCCTTATTTATAATTATGAAAAATGTGAACATTTACTCTGTTGGCTAATACATTTGCTGCTTGATAGGGATAACAAGTGTGCTGAAAATAAACGGAAACAGGTGAGTATTATGAAATTTCAGATGGAAATTCATACAATTCCCAAAAAATGCTAAAAGATTTTTTTTCTTAAATTGGTAAATAGCATCATTATACTGTATAACCTTTCAATTTTCAACTCTAAAACTAGTTTGGACTTGAGAAACATGAAACACCACACATTCTTATATTAAGTGAAACAAAAAAGTGAAAGCAAAATTAGAACATATGCTGAGCATAAAAAACTACTTACACTGAAATAAACAAAGTAGGTTTTTTTGGTTTTGTTTTTTCTAGGCAATTGAAGTTAAGTGACTTGCCCAGGGTCACACAGCTAATAAGTTTCAAGTGTTTGGTCTGAGGCCAGATTTGAACTCAGGTCCTCCTGACTTCAGGGCTGATGCTCTATCCACTGTACCACCTAGCTGCCCCTCCCCTTTAAAAATAAAGTTTAAAAGCATGCTTTGATTCAATCATTAGCTATAATAATTGTCTACTGAGCTCTTAAAAAGAATAAAATGCCACAATTTTTAAAAATAAGAAAAGAAGAAAATATACTCACGAGGGGACATATCTTGCTATTAATTGTAAGGCTCTATGACATGTATCAAAATTTGCAGGAAGATCTACAAAGAGTGAGAACAAAATAATACCTGTTCAGCTTAACAAATATTTACTTATTAAGCACCTAATCTGTGTGTAACATTGTGATAGGTGCTACAAGACACAAAGGGGAAAAGTGATATAATCCCTACAAGTCCAAAGAGTTCAAATCCAATAAGGGGAATGTACTGGGCCTAAAAAATTCAAAGGAAAGATCACTGCCTGGAAGTAAAAAGAGGCTAATAGGGAGGAGGGAGTAGACTTTTCAATCAATTTATCAATTAACATTTATTAAGGTGAGGAATACAAAAAGTGGCAAAAGATAGTTGATTCCTTCAAGGAATTTATAATCTAATGTATATGGAGAGAAATGCAAAAATTCTAGGAGAACATGGGGAGAGTATAAATATTACAAGGCCTGGCCAGAACTACAGAAACACAGGACTAGAATGTTAGGACTGGAAGGGTCTGCAGAGGTCCCAGTCCAACTCCCTGACTTTTTACAGGTGAGAAAACTCAGGCCCAGGAAAGTCAAGAATCTATTTCTATTATCCTAGTATTAGGTAATGGACCGGAAATGATAGGGTCAAGTAAGAAAATAAAACTATGTGTTTGAAGCTACCATAGAATCTAGTCAAATAGGTATTCTAAACTACTTCCAAAGGGAGATCAAATGTACATGAACACAACCAGTTTTCCATTCATAATACCGCAAATAAATCTCAGTTACCTCACTAATTCAATATGTAAGTTAAAGAGAATATAAGATCCTATCAGACAGATCATCAAAGCCTACTACTTTACTTCCAGGAATAAATCAAACCTTGGAATTTCTAATACCATTTATCTCATGTTACTCAGTCTAAAAGGTTTGGGTTTTGTTATTTGTCTTCAACTTTAATTGTATTTTAGGACTTACTCTCATCTTCATCATCCGAATCTGATATAGTCGTATCACCTTCCTTGATGATTACTCGAGCTGTTAGGAAAATAATTTTAAAGTGGTCTGTTATTTTTTTCTATTGCCTTGACACAGCTGCTTGGACAAGGTCATATATTACAAAATAAAATGGAAAAAAAGCTTTTTATAAAAGCTCTTTTTAAGCTAGAAATTAAAAAAAACCCTAGCATTCAGTTAAACTAATATATTGACATTTTCTCAGAATGTAAAAGCCCTTCAAACTACTTTGTAGTTTACTATAAAGTATATTAACAACAATATACAAGTAGTTAACACACAAGTAGTTTCCAACATATAAGACACTTCCATTTATAAATAACTGCTCATAATTCTCTCTCTCTCTCTCTCTCTCTCTCCATTCCACGTCACTGCTGACTTGAGAGCTATTAAGGAATAAGAAGTGAAAATTTAAGTGAATCTTAAGTGGAGAAAAGATGTGAAAGACAGCTATGTGTATGGGGACTCAAGTGGTGGCCTCCTGTCCTTCATCTAATAACAGATAAAGATGAATAGATTGCAAGTTCTTTGGAGAGCAAGAATTTTGCCATTATTTATTTTTGTATCTTTTAGTGATTAAACACAGTGTTTTGCCCATAGTAAGTACTTAATAACTGCAGGCTGAATTGAATAAGTACTGCTTTGCTCTTTGTGAATCCTTTTATGAATTATGAAATGTCACAGAGCTTTACACAGAGCCACCAGTAGGAAGCTGAATCAAAAATATTTCTCCCACACGACTTGAAAATGTTTATCTTATTTAGACTGAACAGCCAGTTAGCGATTGGACTGGCTGAAAACCACACCTCAACATGAATTAGTTTAATAAAACTGCCTTCCTAATATCTAGCCAACCTCAACCTCATCTAAACTGAAAGAATAGGAATTTTGATTGAGAAGAAGAGTTAAATAATTCTGGAGCGTGAAAAGTTTAAGAGGTAGCACTTACCCACCCTCCCAAAGTAGGAGTGCTTAGGAAAACATGAAGAAACAATGAAGATTGAGGGGACAACAACACATAGAGCAAGGAACAGAAAAAGAAGTGGAAAACAGCACTTTACTTATTTCAAAACTATAACTAGGGCCAGCTGTAGACTCAATAAATGGGGGAGGGAAACGCTTCTTATTCTTTGTACAACTCCTGACCCCTAGGACTCAGAAATCAGACTGGTTTGTTACTTTGGCTACATTATGACTTTTGTGCCTCACCATGGAAATGTAACCACAATATAGAACATTGTTTCCAAGGCGAAAAGTAGGCTGTTTCAAATAAATGACTTAAAGGGTGCAGCTAGGTGATGCAATGGATTAGAGCACCAGCCCTGAAGTCAAGAGGACCTGAGTTCAAATCCGGCCTCAGACCAAACACTTGACACTAGCTGTGTGATCCTGGGCAAGTAATGTAACCCCAACTGCCTAAAAGTAAAAAACAAAAACAAAAAAACACAAACAAAAAACCAAATAAATGACTTAGAAACTAACTTTCGGAACACAACTCTTTCACAAATTGGATACTACCTTCACTGCACATGGGGCTTTGTACTTCAATGTAAAATAGCAACTCATAAGTTTACTATTATCGAATTTGAACACTATCCTTGGATTCAAATAACTCTTTCTTTCTCATACTCATTCACCATTTTACTTAAATTATTTCTGCCACATTTCAATTATTTCTTTTGAAAACACCAAAGAGTTTCTCTTTCATTCAAATTCATTTTGGGAAACTTTTTAACAGAAAGCAAATTGCATTTTCTAACATGAAAGAGGTCACATTCTAGGTCAAGGACATCACATAAGTCTAACAATATCACAAAAACAATCTATATACTTATGCTTAGTCTTAAAAATGGGTATATTCTCTATTTCTACGTGTGTGTTTATATATACATAAAACACAGAGAGAGTGATTACATAAGGGCCTCATATATGTATGCATAAGAAATATAATTTTAGGGTACCATAAATATGACTCAATTTTATTACTGTTAAAACTTAGAAGGACTTTTTAGTAATGATTTGAGTCACCTAAGTTTCTTAAAGAAACTTTAACCAGACACCTTTATTTCCTTGAGGAGTCATTTCAATGACCTCTGAGCCACCTCAAAGTCTTTAGTTAACATTCAATATTTGTTTACTGTCAATGATGTTAACTTTTTTCCAGTCAAAAATCAGCTTTAAAGGGAAAAGTTGATATTCTGGAAAGCATTTTGCAACTACAATTTTTAAAAAAAGTGATTAAAATGTCCACGTCCTTTAGAATTAGAGATCCTACTACCAGGCATATACCCCTAAAAGGTCAAAGAGCAAAAGGTCCCATGTATACCAAAATAATCATGGCAGCATTTTTTGTAATAACAAAAGAATCTGAAACAAAATAAATACCATTGACTGAAGAACAAAACAAATTATGGTACATGAATATAAGAAACTTAAGACAGTTCAAAAAATTTCACAGTAACGAACTGTCGTGAAACACAGGCTTGTTTTTAGGGGAAGAGATGGTGGTAGAAGAAGAGGATATTGTGTTGTGATTTCAACTCTCAATGCAGAAATTTCCTCCCTTAATCCAGTAACTATAACTGATAGTCTTAGAAAGTTGCCTGGGGCACTGAGAAGTCAAATCAATCAACAAGCATTTATCAAGTGCTAACTGGACAAAAAGGTGAGGATACAAAGAAAAGTCAGGGGTACAAATCCCTGTCCTCAAGTTCACATTCCAATGGGAGAAAACAAATACGAAAATAATTAGCAACATACAAGATATATACAGAGCAGATGAGAAGGTAACTTGCCCATGGTCTCATAGCTAATACATGTCTGAGAAATGATTTGATAGCTGATATTCCTAACCTTAAGGCCGTCAATCTACTACACCATAGTACCTCCCCTGAGGCTAATACTCTAACCCAGTACTGTAGCCAAAACATACACTGAAATATTCAGTGACTATTAATTTTAAAGATGTGAGTAATGTCTTAAAGTTTATCTAAGATGATTTTACAAGAAATAACAAGGCATAAAAGGAAAATTGAGGTAAGGAGAAAGTATATACTTACAAGGTATAAAATGAGAAACAATCATGCTGAGACATGGTCTAAGATAGACAGTCTGCGCTGAAACAAGATTTCCAAGAAAAGCCAAATATTCCTCCAACACTTCTTGGCTCCTTTCCAGCCATGGCAATTTCTAGTTGGAAGAAGGGGAAAATGGCATTTAGTTCATCCAAGGTTCGTATCTCTTTTATTTAATATTTTATTTTTTTCTCCTAATTATATGTAAAAACAATTTTTAACATTCTGTATTTAAAATTTTGAGTTCCAAATTCTCTCTCTTTCCTCCCCCACTTATTGAGAATGAAATCAATTTGATACAGGTTATACGTATGAAATCATGTAAAACAGATTTCTATGTTAGTCATGTTGGTTCATATCTCTTTTAAGGATCAAATTACTAGTCGCTGAAGTCAATGTCCAGATAATACTTACCAATAAAATGCTGATGAGCTGTTCAAAGTCTTTTGTCAAGTATGTGACTGAATTTCGAAACTCTAATAGCCAGTTAATAATCTGAGCATCCTGAAATTCAACAAATAAAAATTTCTCTCTAATTAAGAAAAAATATTTCTGAAACCTTAAATTCCTAAATTAGTATGAAATAACATAATGAAGCGTAAGGTAGGGACATAGCCATATCTTAGAGTAAAAATATTAATGAATTAGGAACAAGTTCCCATTAAATTTAGAGACTGGCAAAGAGAAATGACACTAACATTTTCCAGTTTATTATAAAAAGGGTAAGGAAGATTCTCAGGTAAGCATCTCTATCACAGCTATTTTTCCTGTATTTGAATTTATATAATTTTAAAAAACAAATTCCTCTCACAGTCACTGATTTTTTAACAAACAAATCAGAAAATTCAACAGCAAAGAAATCAGCAATTCAGATATTATACAAATCTTTATTTAAATAATGAGCAACATTAGCTTATTGAGGGGAAAGGGAGAAGAGAGTGCAAGTTTTTCAATTAAAAAAAAACCCAATACAAATAGTTTTGATTTCTAAGAAAGTTGATTAGGATTCTGTTTACATTTGTCCATAATTAAGTGGCAGAAAGTACCACATTTTAACTCATTAATTATTTATGTGTCTACAATATGCAATGCAAAAATTGCTGCAATCTCAAATAAATATTCTAAGAAGCAACCTGCTTACATTTTTCTCTGAATTCAAATTTGTACACAAAACATGCTAATATTAGAACCAGTTTCACAAATATTTTTCTATGGTCCACTTTTAGAAACAGAGGCACATTCCAAGAAAAGAGAATAACAGGGACAATCCCCTCCCCCACAATATATTTCAAGGGCGTGTACTGAAGTAGTGTAGTTACAAATATAGGCCAACTTTCATACTTCCTATATTTGCATGTAATGCATTATTAATGATTAAGTGATGTTCAGAATCTTGAATCAAAGATTTAATTATGTCCCCAAAGCCTTGCACATAGTAGGTACTCAATAAACATGTACAGACTATTAATTAACTGTTCAAAATCTCCATCTCTTTCTTGGAATAGTCTAGCTAAGGTTTGGCTCTATGATTTAGGATCATAGATTTTGAACTGGAAGGAGCTTTAGAGACCATTTGTTATATTCCCGAGGAAACTAAGGCCCAAAGAGGGTTACATGACTCCTCTAAGACCACATATGAAGTAGCAAATTAGAATTATGTCTTAGGTCCTCTGAATGCAAATCTGGCTCTCTCTCCATGGCATTCCTCCTTCGCTACTTGATATTTCCTGAGAGTTAACATCATAGGAAAGAGGATGGGAAAGGAAGGTAGACAAGTGAAGGTCGGTTAAATTATTAGGTGTTGTCAAAATACAAAAAAGATAATAACCCATTATTTGATCCTGCCTTTTAAATTCAAAGCAACCTTGCAATCACACACTGGGGACATGGCTAGCTGGAATTATGGAGGCTGTCTGGGGAACAGAGATTCTTTGTGAACCTAACTGTCCTATATGTGAACTGAATCCATAAGTTTGTCTTCATTATTAGTTCACTTACTTGAGACTAATGCTGTATTCAAAAACTATACTAAGGAGCTCAAATGCCTCCAAAACAAACCCTAACTTCATAATATCAAAGGAATATTTTAGCAGTTTTAAAAAATGGACACAACTTTCATAATTATAAAAATACTAATTTTTTAATAAAAATTAAGCATCTATTATGTACAAGATACTATGCTAGGTTCTGAAGGCACTGCCCTCAAAAAGTTCATTTTTCCTGAAAACTGCTTTCCAGAATAGCTAATTGTTTTAATTTGCATTTCTCAAATGATTAGTGATTTAGAGTACATTTTTCACATGGCTAATGACAAGTTATATTTCTTTTTCTGAAAACTGCCTGTTTTGGGCCCTTTGACCATTTATCAATTGAGGAATGGCTCTTGCTCTTATAAATCTGACTCATTTCTCTATTAATCCTAGAAAAGAGACATATCTGAGAAACTTATTGCAAAGATTTCCCCCCCCCATTTACCTGCTTCTCTTCTAATTTTAGCTGAATTGGTTTTGTTTGTGCAAAAATGTTTCAATTTTATTTGTTAATTTATTAATTTGTTTAATTTAATCAAAATCAAACATTCTTTAAAGAAATTTAACTAGAGAGAGAGATATTTAGTGCTCATGGTTGTGTCATGCCTCTATAATAAATGATATTAAATTATTTTAGATTTAACATAATACCAATCATACTAAGAAGCTACTTCATAGAGCAAGACAGAAACATAACAAAACTCAGTTGGAGGACAAAAGATCAAAAATCTCAAGGGTAACAAAAGTCCAATGAACCTGAGAACATAAATTACTTAAGAACTCCTGATCTAACAAGAACTCCCAGAAAAACTGAAAGCAGTTTGTCAGAAATGAGTCTGAATTGAACATCTTATACTATATGCCACAATAAGCTCAAAATAGATACCTGACCTAAACATTAAATGTCATATGATGAAAAACATATCCAAAGGGATCCATAACAGGAGTCAGAAATTCCATCAGGAAGTCAGGGAAGACTTCATGAAGGAAATGGTACCTGAACTAGGTCCTGAAGGATTGGATGGAGTTCAAAATATGGAGATAGGACATGAATGCATTTCAAGTATAGAAAGCTCAAGAAGAAAAAGGAATCCAAGCAGGAAAAAGAAAAACAAGTTTGAGGAATCTTAACCATGATGGTTTGGCTAGAGTAGAAGACATATTTAGCTAATGCACTGAACGTATGAAGAGGAACGGAAGGATATAAAATGTCTTGCTAATCTTAAAGCACTATGTAAATATGATTATTATTGTTATAACAAAATAGGTTTGAGCTTTTAAGGAACTTGAATTAGTTTAGACTATTCAAAAGGCAATGAAGAAAGAACCACTGAAGCGGCAGCTAGGTGGCGAAGTGGATAGAGCACCAGCCCTAAAATCTGGAGGACCTGAGTTCAAATTCAGCCTCAGACCAAACACTTGACACTTACTAGCTGTGTGACCCTGGGCAAGTCACTTAACCTTAACTGCCTTTAAAAAAAAACCCACTGAAATTTTTTAGCAAGGGAACAACATGATTAGAGTTGTGACTTATGAATATTACTCTCACAGCAGCCTGTAGATCCAATTTGAATTGAGAGAGACCAAAGGAAGGGTTTAATGATCAGTAAACTATTTTATTACTCCAGATTTAAACAAATCTCATAAACTATCTTACCTTTATGTCTGGATCTGATAATTGATGCTTCAGCAACTCAAAATCATTTGTATCACCCTTAAATAGAAAAAAGAGAGGGAAAGATTATACTTACAGTTTCCTACCAAAGAATCTGATGTAATATAATAATATTCATACCATCCTCAGAATTGATTGGTTTATAAAAACACTATTATGGTTAATTCAATGCCCTATTATGAATGAAGGGGAGAATTGATTGTCCCCTACCAAAATATGGCAGACACCATATTTTAAAAGTTACATGTGATCCTCCAAATACCCAGATGATATCTTTGGCTTTTAAACATTTATTTGAATATGGGTATATCTTACATTCTTCACATTTACAAAATTTGCAATAAAACTATGTGAAGCTCAAATTCAGAAAGAGGTTAAAAATTATAGCGCTTTCCTACCCATCTTCTATTGCTTCTCCTTTCTGTTAAGAATGGTACCACTTTCAAACAAATTAAAAGAAAAAACCTCACCTCCAACAAGGTAATTTATGGAATTTGTTCACATCTAAAGACCTGAAAGGATTCTGCTGAAATACAGGTTTGTAACGCTTTTGTGTGTCATGGACTCCTTTGATAAAAACTATGGACTCCTCAAAATGTTTTTAAATTAATAAAATAAAATACCTACTAATACAAAGGAAATTAAAGGTTAATAAAAATAAAGATGTAATTTTTTACCCACCCAAGTTCACAGATTCCCTGAAATCTATCCATGGACCGCAGATTTAAAATCCTTCTGGTAAAGTAAATACTTTGCATTAATAAATGGCTTAATTCAAGCAAAGAACTGGCCTGTTTTCCAATTCATAGCTGCCAGGTATTATCTTGATATAAAAAAATTCTAGAGAAATTTAAAAAAATTGATATAGTCTAGTTTGACTACTGATATGATACTTTAACATAAATGTTACACTAGACAGAATGTCAACTAAAAATGCAGCCATCACAGAAACTGCCTGTTTGTAGCTGAGGTAACCTGAAAGAAGCCCAAATTAAAATGCCACAAACTTTTTTACCTTTTTGTATTTTAGCAAGATGTCTGTCACAGTCCCACCGAACCGAACAGTTTTTTTTGGTGGAGAACTGAGGAAGTCCTTCTCCAAGGCAAGCATATCTGATATTCTAAAAAGCAAAACCCCAAGACATTAAGGCACTGAAATAGAGAACAATGCAGCCCATTAAAAAGCCAAAGCATTTTCATTAATTTCTCTTCCTCATTAAATAAAACCTAATTTTTTTTAAGGTTATATATGTACGATCATGTTAAATGTATTTCCACATTAGTCACGTTGTGAAAGAAGAATCCTAACAAAGGGAAAAACCATGAGAAAGGGAAAAAAATGAAAACATAATGCTTTAATCTGCACTCAGACTCTATAGTTATTTTAGAATTGTGTTAGATCATTGTATTGCTGAGAAGAGCTAAGTCTATCAAAGCTGGCCATTCCACAATGTTGCTGTTACTGTGTATAATGTTCTGGTTCTGCTCACTTCACTCAGCATCAGTACATGTCAGTCTTCCCAGGTTTTTCTGAAACCATCCTGCTCATCATTTCTTATAGCAAAATAGTATTCCATTACATTCATATACCACAACTTGTTCAGCTATTCCCCAATTGATGGCATCCCCTCAAATTCCAATTCTTTGCCACAACAAACAGAGCTGCTAAAAATATTTTGTACTTGTGGGTCCTTTTCCCTTTTTTATGACCCCTCTGGGATACAGACCTAGTAGTGATATTTGCTGGATCAAAAGATATGCAGTTTTATAGTTCCAAACTGCTAACGTAAAAACAAATAAAACAAGAAGCAATTTAAAGAAAGAAAACAAAAATGGAAGTCATTCAAAATTTTAAAAAATTTAATTCTTTTTGTAAGGAATACATTCTTTTAAAGAAAAAGAAACCCTGTTGTACTTTCTGTGCAGAAAACATCTAGGTAGTCATTCAAATTCAATTAACATTTTCCTCAACATCCTTAGTGCTGAAAACATTAAGGATATAAGAGGGAGGTACAGAGTCCCAGGCCTCAAGAAGCTCATACAATTTAGTAATGGGTGGAGACACAGAACTATAATAAGTGCTGGAAAGTGATTTGAAGAAACTCTTATGGCCAAATGGATAATGACAGAGCCCTGATGCCAGAAGACCTGTGCTCAGATCCTACCTCTGAAACATACTGGCTGCGACTCTGGGCAAGTCAGTTAACCTCTCACAGCTCTAAATCAACTCTTTTAAGTTGCAAAGAGAGGGCAGACTGCATTAGCAGAGGGAATTTCCTCCCTATACTAATGAAATTTCTTTTCCTATCCCTCTCAAGCTTTGTCAATTTACTCACAAGGTACCACCCTAGTTCATCACCTCTTGCCTGGAACGTTGCAGTATCCACCTAACTGGTCTTCTTGCCTCAAGTCTTAATCCTCCTTTAACACATACTGACCTCCACAAAGGTGCCAAAGTGATTTTCCTACAGTGTAATTGTGTCTGACCATGCCACTCCCTACTCAAAAAACTCATTATCTTATTACTTTGTCTCTAATCAAACACAAATATTTGTTTAGTATTTAAAACCCTTCACAACCTGGACCCAAACTTTCCAGATTTATTACATTATTCCCCTCTCCACACTTTACAATCTAACCTAACAGGACTTCTTACTGGTTATTTTTTATGGCCGTTCCTCATAAAACATTCAGTACCTCCATACAGGCTGTCCACTATGTTTGAAATGCATTCCTTTCACACCCATGACTCTCTATCCCTAGTTTCCCTGGAATCCATAGTTTCCTTCAAAACTCAGATCAAAAGTCACTTTCTACATGAAGCTTTTTCATGATTGCCCCCTAACCCACCCACTAGCCTTACCCTTCCCTCCTCTCCTCCCCAAAGTGGGGTGTGGGTATATGTTGTGAGAGGTAATGTGGCTTAGGGAACAAAGAGAGAGCCGGCTTTGGAAGCAGAAGACTTGAGTTCCAGTTCTGCCTCTGAAACATACTGGCTGTGTGACTCTTTTCAAGTCATTTAACCTCTAGATAACTCTCCAAGACTGAATTATAGAAAAAGTACCAACTTGCATTGGTGGAGGGGAAATTTCAATCAATCAATATTTTTTATGCCCCTACTATATTCCAGGTACTGTGCTAAGCACTGAATTTTCATCTGGGAAGTTCTCTATGTGGATTAAATCACAAGTACAGTTGCTATCATATATATGTGAATACACATATATACAGAAACACATAAACAAGCTTAGAATCTCTCTGGTGGGACAGCATATACAAGTTTACATATATGTATATTCTGTAGATAAGGTATGACTTTATTAATAAATAGTATGATAGTTTCAGTGACAACTGTTCAAACATTAAGTTCTATATAGAACATCAGTGAGCTTCTGGCTTAAACACTGTGCATATTAAATACTTTCTGTTGTTGTTCTGTCATGTGCTACTCTTCGTTTTCCAGGCAAAGATAGTAGAGTGATTTGCCATTTCCTTCTCCAGTTCATTTTACAGATGAGGAAACTGAGGCAAACAGGGTTCAGTAATTTGCCCAGGGTCGGCTAGAAAGTGTCTGAGGCTGTATTTGAACTCAGGAAGATGAGGTTTCTTGAGTCCCGGACGCCCACACCTCACCACCCAGCTGCCCTATATTAAATACTGTGGCACAGCAAATACTGACATAACAACATTTTCCATTTTCATGCACAGAAGTCAAGCTGAAACACTATTTATGAAACATCGTGGACAATGTAATTCCTTCATAATGCTCAATATTAACGTACATATATACGTGTGTGTACTTGTAACATATACATGTGTGTATACTTGTGTATGCTGCCTCCCGCGAGAGACTCTAAGTTCGTGGAGGGAAGAGGGTCTATTTCTTTCATCTTTGTATCCCCAGCGCCCAGCACAGTGACCGGGATACAGAAGGCGCTTAATCAATGCCTTTTGATTCAAGAGGGATCACTGGCCTTTTCGGGGGTCGGACGTTGATGCGGGGAGAACAGTCACCAGGACCGGTCAGACCCCGGGCGTTAGGGGCTAGAGAAGGCCCGGACCCCCTCCCCGCGCCTGGGAGGAGAGGAACTCCGGAAGCGACTCACAGCCCCTAGCCCCCGGCTCCGGAGCCCCCCAGCCCCCTCACCAATCCCAAGTCTCCCCGTCAAAGGCTCCCGTTTCACCCGCGCGTCCAGTCCGGCTCGGCTCCGCGCCCTACACGGACCTCCCCGCCACCCACCCCGACGCTCCCGATCCAGGCCTAGCGGGCCACCCCCTCCCATCCCCCAAGCGGGAAAGACAGCGGCTCCAGCCACTTACCCCGTCCTCGAAGCCCCCGGAGCCTTGACGGCGGAGCCCGGGGCTGGCGCGGCGGTGGCGGCGGCGGCCCCGTCTCCGGGAAGCCGCGTGTGGAGCAACGGGGCCGCCATGGGAACAGCTGAGCTACACGACTGTTTGCCCCGGAAGTGGTGCTCGGCTCGTCGCGGCCCGAACTCGGAAGTTGACTCGCTAACCTCCTCCCCTTCCACGTGCTCCCGGCCGATCCGAGGAGCCACGAGCGCGAGCCTCGGAGAGAATGCGATGTTCCGGGGCGCGAGCGCGTGGGTAGCCTCAGCTGGCCCCCCACCCCACCCTGGTGCGGCCAGGCGCTTCCGTTTCTGATTGGGCCCACGGGCACGATCCCGTGGGTGGGATGGAGGCTGAGGGCGGGACGGCGAGAGGAGGCGAGGGCGGGAGGTGCCGAGTGGAGGCCGTTCTTCCCTTCTAGGAGCGACTGGTACGAAGCCACTTCCCTGAACCGAGTCAAGATAGCAAAACCGGAACAACTGCCCAGATCCAGACGAGGCCAGGGCCAGCCTTCTCGTTGTTCAGTTGAGGAAACTGAGGCTCAGGGTGTTTAAGTGACTTGCCCAATGCACAGTGATTACATCAGGGGAATCTAACCCCCTCATTTTACAGATAAGGAAACTGAGGCCCGGGTGTTTAAATCGCTCAATGCGTAACGATTGGAAAACACGCCCCCTCCCCCCAAACCCCCGGAAATTGAACGCAGCGTAATCATAATGACCAAGCTTGGATCTCCAGATGACTTGAGAAAACGCATCTCTCCCTTTTTTGCGGAGATGGGGCCGTAGGAGGATGTGAGACGTTGCCTAAAACCCCATGATGTGTTGTTCCGTTTTGCTGACTAGGCTTTTTGTTATTTAAAAACAAAAAACAATTATTACAAAGCATAGGTAGGTGGGTAGGAGAGAGAGTTAATGACAGAGAAGGGATACATTTGGAAATAAATGATAAAAACAAAAAATAGATCAATAAAATTTGAAAACAACAACAAAAGTAACCCTAAACCAGAAAAGTGTCATTGCTTGTATTCTGATGTGGAAACTAAGGCACCATCAGGGCTGTCCTGAACTGGAAAATTTGAGGGAGAATTACATTATTTGGGGACTCAGGCACCAACTAGAAGGATCCCAACTCCAGTTATTTACAATTTTTGTGCTCCATAGCAATCTGGAATCCCATGAGTGCAAAATTCTTGGTAGGGCATGATGCTCTCAAGTTAAAGGGGAGAGGGGAGAAGGAAAGAGGAGGTCAGAACTGTACTCTCCTATTCAGAAAGTCTCTTCTCAGTCCTTGGAATAAACAAAGCTTTTGGGTATTATCTGTAAAAGAAAGATTAGTAGTGGAGATCAGTGCTTCTTAAACTTTTTTGGTCTCAGGACCTTTAAAAAATTGAACCCTCCCCCCAAAGAACTTTTATTTATGAGGATTATATCTATTAATACTGTTTTAGAAATAAAGATGTCTTAGCATTATTATGCAACTAGTTTTGACCTTGCAGAACCCTCAAAAGGGTCTGAGGGACCACCAGGAATCCCTGGACCACACTTTAGAACCACTGGCCCAGATGAAGTCAGTGGAACCTGCCAACATCTTTTATTTACAAAATATCCTTTCCTAGTTGAATGTTCATGGTGGGCTAAATTCCATATACAATGACTTTCCCCTTTCATTCACTGAGAACATTCTAGTCATTAAAGATAATGTAAGCTCAAGAAAAGGTACTGGACCAACTAGAAAGTTTATAATTTTAGAAAGACTGTTGTATCAAAATAACCCAGTCTTAGCTGCATTTCTTAGCTGTGTAGCCTTACGCAAGTCTCAGTTTTTCTTTTTTTTTCATTTGTCAAATAAAATCCCTAAACCTACCTCTCAGGAATGTTAGGATTAAATGGAATAATGAAAATAATCAGTAAATTATAATTCACATTAATGTAGAGGTTTAAAATGCTCCCATCACAACAACTCTATGAGATAGATCGAATGATTTCTTTTGTCAGAGTACATTTATTACCTAAGAAGCGTCAAACAGTGTGCTAAGCACTGGAGATACAAAGAAAGGCCAAACAAAAGTCTCTTCTCTCAGGAAGCTCACAGTTTAACAGTGGAGACAACAGGCAAACAACTATGTACAAACAAGATATAGACAGAATAAATCAGAGATAATCAACAGAGGGAAGGCGCCAGAATTAAATGGAATTGGGAAAGGCTTCCTTTAGAATATGGACTTTTTTAAAAAAAATTCAGTTTTATTTTCAGATCTGAATTCTCTCCCTCTCAAGTGCCCCTCCTCCACTCATTGAGAAAGCAAGAAAAAACAAACCAGTACAAATATGTGTATACTTCATGCTTCAGTCTGCACTGAAGTCTATCACCTCTCTAATAGGAGGTAGGTAGCATGTTTTTATCATGAATACTCTGGAACTAGGAAACGTGTTGATTGGAGTTCTTAAAACTTTCAAACTTATTTGTCTTTACAGCATTGTTGTTATTGTACAAATTTTTTACCTGGTTCTGCTCAAAAAGATTGGGTTTTTAGCTGGGATTTGAAGAAATCCAGGGAGCTTCCCACTGAGGAAAATCAGTGGGCTGATGCACATTGGAAACAATTTATAATCTTAGTTACCTGGAGGCACTGAGAGAGACAGAGACAGAGACATTAAGTAACTTGCTCTGTCTCACCTAGCTACTGTGTGTCAGAAGCAAGACTTGAACGTTTCCTAACTTCAAGACTAATTCTCTATACACTATGCTATAATGTCTCTTTGTGTAAATATTGTTCCCATTTTCCAGATGAAGAAACAGTCTCAGAGAGAGGTTGTGACTTGCCTAAGGTCACATAATTAGCTTAGCTTCAAGCATATGTAACAGTTTATGGATATACCATATTACCCTTGGCACATATGACCCTTGGCACACAAGTAAAAGGAGCCTCCCAAATTGACTTGTGTACTGCCTTCTTTGTTGTTCATTTGTTTCAGTAGTGTCCAACCATTTGTGACCCTATTTGGGGTATTCTTGGCAAAGACTGGCTTACCATTTTCTTTTCCAGTGGATCTATTTTGTCAGTCAATTGACAGCTAGGAACTGTTTGAGACTGGATTTGAACTCAGGTTTTCCTGACTCTAGACCCATCAGCTGCTTTTACTTCCTTCTTTAAGTCTGGCTGGAGAATGGCAGTGTGTAGCGAAAGGCAGTATGGTATACTATATATTAATTATCTGGGTTGGGAGATGATGTGCAGAATAAGTTTTGTAGTGTCCTCCTTGAGTGACCTTTCTGGCCCAGGTGTGATTGTTGTTGTTCAGTCATTTCAGTTATATCTGACTCTTCCTGACTGTATTTGGGGTTTTCTTGGCAGAGATACTGCAGTGTTTTGCCATTTCCTCCTTCAGCTCATTTAACAGAGGAGGAAACTGAGGCAAACAGGGTTAAGTGACTTGCCCAGGGGCACACAGTTATTAAGTGTCTGAAGCCAGATTTGAACCCAGAAAGATGGGTCTTTCTGACTCCAGGCCAAACACTCTATCCATCCATCACCTACCTTCCCCACCACCTATCTGCCCTGTTATGGTGTAGTATGAAACAAATGTTTGTAGTATCTCCTTTGCCACAAGAGGGCGCTCAGCCTATTATTTGTTCGTTCCTCTTTTTCAGTCATGTCTAACTCTTCATGAACCCATTTGTTTTTTGTTTTTTAAATTTTTTTTTTGGCAAAGATACTGAAATGGCTTGCCATTTTCTTCTCCAAATGAAGAAACTGAAGCAAAAAGTTAAGTGACTTGCCAGGGTCACACAGCTAGTAAGTATATGAGGCTAGATTTAAACTTAAAAAGATGAGTCTTCCTGACTCCAGGCCAAGCACTCTATCCACTACGCCACCTAGCTGCCTTCAGCCTACTGCCTAGGCTATTCCTAGCTTTTTCCTCCACTTCCACAGCCACCAAGCTGTAGGTAGGCTAGTTCATACTATAACAAGGGTATGATAAGGAATAGAGCTCAAAATATCAGAAATATGGAATCTGTGGCTAAATATGTTCCTCTTTCCTGGATGTGGAATCTCCTGCTCTCAGTCAACAATCCCACAAATCTACAGGACATAGGGACTCACTATACACAAGTTTATTGAACATAGCAAAAATAAAAGGGGAAAAATGTTAAGTGCTCCTACAGGGAGCCATTCATTTCCAACTGTCTTCCAAATAACTCCTGTTTAGCCTCCCAGAACTTTCAGAGTTCAGGGGAACAGTACCAAAATATCCCACTCAATCACAGAGTGACCAAAGGAATAGACTGCACATCTGGGATCCCATTAGGGCATAGAATTAAGGGAAAGGGGTGAGAAGTGGAGTGAGAAACAGACCTCTCCACTTCACTGACTTCTAGATTCCTCAATACCTGCCAATCTCAGTTACTCTAGTCTAGCCTCCATTCCTGGGTATGACTTTCCTAAGCAGCACTTATCTCAAACGTTTTGCCTGCAGGGGAACCTTGGTTATGATCTTGGCTCCTTCTGTATTGGTTCCAGCCACAGACAGACTGAGTCTTGATCTCAAACTGTCATAGCCTAGCAATCCCACTCCCCATACCAGGTTCTGGAACTTACCTAGAAGGCAAGATGTTTGATTCTCAAAGTCAAGAGAAGGAAGAGGACATGAGACCCATGCATACATATACAGATCTCTTACCTCCCTTCATCCTCTCATAAGATTTCACTCAGGGTCATACAACTTCCCAGAGTCTCACAAATTCTGTTTCCCTATGTGGAAACTTTTGACATCCTTTGGATCCTCACCAAGAAGAGTCATCACCACAGCAACACCCAATAAATATAGGTGTTCTGACTCCAAGTCCAGCATTCTTTCAATTATATCATACTGCCTTTCTGGTATGTCAGTGTTAGATATTGTAACTTCTTGAGGACATTTCTAACTCCAAGATTCTATGGAAGTGGCTAATTATGAATAACATAATTGGGCAGTGCCCTAAAAAGACAATCCTGTGCTGTGTATGTAGAAGGAGACATGATACCTGATTGGCTGAGAGAATGCTGAATGGGAGGCAGTGTACCTGCTATAAGGGATTTATTTGAGTTGGTTGCTAAGACACTTGGGAGGAGAGACATTTGGTGAGAGGATCTTCAAGAGGG